CTGCGAAGAGAGAGCGCCGGCCCAAACGAGCCCGCGCCATAGTGGAGGAGGAAGCACCCCCTCCAGGTAAATCTGTACACAGCCGCCTCTTTCACACCGCACGAGGTCCTGTTCACTCATCTGTGTGTCTGATGCTCCAGGAGCCAAACGCAAAGGAGACAAAGGAGCAAAAGGAGGCAAGAAGTCTGTGTTTGACAAGGAGCTGACCAACACGAGTGGCCGCGTGCTCAAGCAGTACAGAGCGGGGTCGGTATCATCTTAACAAATAATGTTCAACAATTTCTGTGGTTTAAAGTGCAAATGACAGGTTAGGCTATTCATTTCATTAAAATGGTTAACATTGTTGTATTTAAAGTTAAATTAGAAATAGATATATTATTTTTGTATTTCCTGATTCTACAGCAGATGTGCCCAGGTGGGTAGAGTATGCAAAAATTGCACTGAAGTAAGAGTGAGGTTACTTCAAGTATAAAGTAGTGTTGCAAGAATTACTCAAGTAAGTTAAAAAGTATTTGGGAAAAGTAAGAGTAACTGTTGGGACATAGCGTCTGATTTATAATTTTACGTGCATGTCATTTGCAAAACAAATATTAAATAATGCACAAAATCTGGACAGGACAGACACAAAAATGAGACAAGCTAAATCAAGCTAAATCTGAAGGAGCAGTGCAAGAACTACAAACGTTCAAATCATTTGATTATAAACATAAAGCCAACAGTTGTACTCAAATTCTACACTATACAATATATTACTCAATTAAGAGTGCTGTTGCTTCAATTGAAATTTTACTCAAGTAGGAGTAAAAGTATGCAGCTAGAACAGTGGTTTGACACAGCGTCTTCTCACCTCCTTCTCTGGTGCCTGTTTCAGACCATCCTTTGCAGACCGGAAGCGCCTGGGTTTGAACCGCAAAACAGCCAACGGACAGAGGTAGTGTGCTGTCACCATGGCGACTGTAGGCCTCATGCTGTCCAATCATGCACTCACTGGCTCTATTCTCTTCCAGGAAAGGACGCGGTGCAGCCAGGTACAAGTGTTACTGTCAGGAGAGTCAAGATTTACCTTTTACTTGAATGATCCATATTTGATGGTTCATAGGTCACAACTTCCACAATTGCTGAGGGTCTTAATTAAACTGAGAATAGTTCTAAGAAATATGTTCAGAAAAAGTTCTAATGGCAAATTTGAGGAAAAGTCGGTAAACATGCCATTTCCCATGATTTGATGGTGCTGATTCCAAATATTTTGTTTACCAAGCTGAATTTTGAGTTGCAAGAATGCTAATTAGCATAATAGCATAAACGCCAGGCTAATCAAATTAAAGTTCTCTTTAATTGAATGGATTTCATAAAAAGTCTAGAAAACAAATACCAGTATACTGCATACATATCAGATAAATATTATAACTAAGATAGAAGTCACCACATGACCCCTAATTAGCATACTGAAATAAAAACAAGGCTATAGTGCAGCTTTTTGAAGCTAGCGTCCTTCATTTCCTTCATTTGATGAGCAGAAATGAAACTAATTCCTGATTCAGATTTGGATTCTAGGTGATTGCTCATTTATTTCTGGAAGTCATTTATCTGTGTTTGCCATCGACAGCTTTCATTCTTTATTGAAAATATAGGCCACTGTTCTGTTTTATATCACAACGTTTCAGGAAAAGTTACTGAGGGGGCGAGGCAGGCTAAGTGTCTTGCCCAAGGACACAAGAGCATTCACCTGTGGGAGGTGGAATCGCACCACCAACCTTTAGGTCAGTAGATCTGACCACTCTACCAATGATGTTTATGTCGAGAGCGGGATTCGAACCGCTAACCTTCAGATCAGTGGACAAACGCTCTGACCAACTGAGCTACTGCTGCAAAGAGCCACTCTTTTTTTCAGACGTCAGGGACCTGAGGCTCTACCCCCTAAAGTGCTGCTGTTCATGGCCTATTAGAAGAGCACTTTACCAAGCTCTAGTCCGGAGACAATCGAACAGAACAAATCCAGTTCAACCATCTGTAGGGGAAATGGAATCAATGGAAACCTGGAACTCAAACTGATGCAATCCCAAAAACCCGCAACTTGATGGTTACCTGCAGATGCAAGTACGACTGTAAGACAAGCAAATGCAGTTGTCACAGTGCAGGTCTGTTCTGTATAAGTGGCTACAAATGTAGAAGTATTTCAGATCAGCCATGCCAGAATGCTGCTAGTGCGGACTAAGAATGCAGCCAGAATTAAAGTAAACTAGCACTTCTTTATCTAAACTCTTTGTCACACATTAAACGCAACATAAAAGAGCACACATTAAAAACAACATAAAATCCTGATGTGTGACTTGGTGGAACATGGTTAATGGTTCAAGTGTCTCCTAGAGTTGGAGAGGAGAGAACTTCTGTTAAACTAAAAATGCTGTAAATAAATTTGATTTGTATTTGTTGGATTCATATCCATTCTTAGTCTGAGTTCCAGTTTAAGACTTTTTTTTTTTCCATATGTGATTTGCTTTGTTATCTTTATCCCATTTAGAAAAAAAAAAATGGTGTCGGATGGTGGAAGGAATACTTTGAGGATCTCCTCAATCCCACCATCACGTCTTCTGAGGAGGAAGCAAAGGCTGGGGGGGGGACTTGTCCATCACCCTGGCTGAAGTCACTGAGGTTGTTGCCAAGCTCCGGAGATGGATTAGATCCGTCCTGAGTATTTTAAGTCTCTGGATGTTGTGGGTCTTGGCTGACACGTTTCTGCAGCATCACGTGGTGGTCAGGGACAGTGCCTCTGGACTGGCAGCCCGGAGTGGTGGTCCCTGTTTAAGAAGGGGGACCGGATGTGTTCCAACTCCAGGGGAATCACACTCCTCAACCTCCCTGATAAGGTCTATGCCAGGGACTGAAGAGGAGAATCCAGCTAATAGTCGAACCTCGGATCCAGGAGGAGCAGTGTGGTTTTCGTCCTGCCCGTGCAACACTGGGCCTCTACACCTGTCTGATGTTGTCTTGATGACTTCATAAGACCAGGACCTGCAGCACTGGGGCGGTTTGCAGCCGAGTGTGAAGCGGCTGGGATGAAGTTCAGCTCTTCCAAATCTGAGGCCATAGTTCTCGACCAGAAAAAGGTGTCTTGCCCTCTCTGGGTGGGTGAAGAGTCCTTCAGGTGGAGGAGTTCAAGTATCTTGGGGTCTTGTTCACGAGTGAGGGGAAGTAAAGGGTGAGTTTGACAGGTGGATCGGTGCAGCGTCTGCAGTGATGTGGTCGCTGTGTCGGACCATTGTGGTGAAGAGGGAACTGAGCCCAAAGGCGAAGCTCTTGATTTTACCAGTCAATCTTTGTTCCTACCCTCACCTATGGTCATGAGCTCTGGGTGATGACTGAAAGGACAAGATTGCGGATACAAGCGGTCGAAATGAGTTTCCTTTGCAGGGTGGCTGGGCGCTCCCTTAGGGATAGGGTGAGGAGCTCAGTCACACAATAGGAGCTCGGAGTAGAGCCGCTGCTCCTCCACATGGAGCGGAGCAGCTGAGGGGAGGGCATCTGTTGCGGATGCCTCCTGCACGCCCCCCTTGGGAGGTGTTCTGGACACATCCCAATGGGAGGAGGCCCAGGACACTCTAGAGCAGGCATGTCCAAACTATGGCCCGGGGGCCAAATGCGGCCCTCAGACAAATTTTTCTTGGCCCTCCGGCTTCCAGGTAAATTGGCCCAAATTACCTTGCATCAATTAAAAAATATTTTTTTACTGCAAGTTTTTGAAAATCTACCTAGATAAAGCTAATATTTAATATTTAGTGTGTGGTTTTAAGGATCTTAGCATGAATAAAGACTGATAGCTCATTCTAAGGTGTTAAACATGCACATATTTCAATTATTCCCTGTACTGAGCATCAGTTTATGGCCCTCAATAGGCCCTCTGCTTGGTCTGTGTTTAGATATGTGGCCCTTGATGAAAAAAGTTTGGACACCCCTGCTCTAGAGGGACTATGTCTCCGGGCTGGCCTGGGAATGCCTCAGGGTCTCCCTGGAGGAGCTGGAGGAAGTGTCTGGGGTGAAGGAAGTCTGGGAGTCCCTACTTAGACTGCTGCCCCCGCCCCGGAGAGGCGGAAGAAAATGGATGTTTGGATGGATTTTTTATATATTTACATCATATATAGAGGTAGATAGATATATAGATACATATATGGATATATAGATATTTCTCTCTATATAGATAGATATATAATAAATAAATAAAATATGCAAATTAGAAGGCTTACAACTCAAAATCCAGCTTGGTAAACAAAATTTTCTGAAGCAGCACCCCTCAAATTATGTTTGACTTTTCCTCATATTTGCTCTTCTATGAAAATACTCCTAGTCTATAATAACACATCGTGTCCTAATATTGAATACATGTTTTCCCTCCATTATCTCTTAACTTTGTACTGGACCTATTTTTTTAATTTTTAATTGGTGTCTTTTCAGGTTTAAAAAGTGATCATGTGATCTCAGCATCTCAGCTGCTTCAGGATCTGTCCCTGACTTAAAGACCCAACAAAAACCTGCTTCCTATAGTGTGGTCAAAGCATCAGATGGACAGTGACTTCAAAATTTGACAAACACATTTTTAAATCTAAGTGAATGAGATTCTCCTGATGAGGGCAGTTCTGAATTTCTTGCTAAGCCCACTTGAGAGAGGCCCATCAGAGCTATGAGTCGGGGTCATTCAGACTGCTGCAGTTATTTCCTGTATGAAAACACTGACAAATCGGATATTCTTAATAAACCATTTTTTTCTGCAACTGGTTCTGACATTACACATGTATCAATGCTTTTTAAAGTGCACTTAAAAATGTATTTAAATACTTGAGATTGGTTTGTCTGGTAAGCTGTGTTCATGGCATGCAACTGCTCTTTCTGAACAAGTACAAAAACCTCCAAAAACAAAGTGATCTTCTCTCAAGTACACATACAGATGAGACTGCACGATCTGCCCCTGGCACCACCACTTACTTTACTCAGGTTAGACAACAATATGAAGTTTTAATGGTTTTATTCATATGAACATGTGGCCCACACTTCAGTGAGCACAGGACCCTGCAGCACACGGACCTGTGCAGAAGGTACAGGTGAGAAAACTGTAAAGGCAAAAAACCACACCACGGAGCAGACTGAAGTGTAGATTGACCCCAAACCCAGGCCTCGCCTGGCCAACCAGGATATTCCAACATTAGGAATGCGAAAGAGTCCAGTTTTAATGCTCTGTCCTCTGCAGAACTCCTCAAGAGGCTGCAGGGGGCGCTGCTTTGCTACACAGCCGGGCTACAAGACCGGCCATCTGCAGCAGAGAGTTGACCCCCTCAGCCACTCGCACGTGAGTGTAGCCGATCTCCTGCAACACACACAGCCATGTTAGAGGGGACAGAAGGAGGCTGGAGAGATGTGATTAGCAAAACATGCGCTCTGAGTCCTGTGATGTGATGCTTTGGTCAAATAGATCACTTGCTCAAAGAGACACCTCTTTCCCCATCCACTCCTATTGATTTAACCAATCAGTCAAGTGTCTCTCAGACCACGTAGATGAAAAGACATGAGATCAAACCAAACCAGAGAATGGTCACAAATTCTGATATGATAAATGTTTTTGCCAAATCTCCACTCTGTTACTTAAGGTTTAAACAGGCTGGTCCGGAACAACAGAGTTATAATCATTTTAAAGGGCCCATAATTACGCCATTATCTGATGTATGTACTTTCCTCATCACAAAGACCTGGAGGTGTGTTCTGTTACATTCACGTTTAACACACAAACCCTGCAGATTTAGGCCGAGTTCTTCTCTCAAACAGAAAATACTTTCTTCCACCTTGTGATGTCATGTGGCGATACAGGAAGAGCTCCACTGTAATTACAGATTCCACACACCTTCACTAAAGGTTCATTTTTGCCCTTACAAAAGATAAAAGATGGCTGTTAAACTTTAAAACTGCCACTTAATGACATCACAAGGTGGAACAGAACATTATGAGCTTTGTAGCTGTACACAGCAACGTGTGAATGAAACAAAGCTCCAGGTATGTTTTTGATGAGGTAACAACATGCATTATTGATTGAAGTACTGATGCCCACATCAACAAAAATAACCTTGGTGTTGCAGCTCAATAATTGTTGGCTGTGGGAGTACCTTGATAAACTCCAGCTTGAGGTACTCGGGCATGCTGAAGGTCTTGCACACTCTAAACACATTGCCGATGATGTCCTCGGGGGAGTAGCCCAGTCTCCACAACTGCTCCATGACACGGTACGCCTCATCCACCTGTCCCTGCACACAGTTTCCCAGCATGCCTTTCACCAGCAGGGGGTGCGGTTCATCGCACACTTTGAACACGTTCTCACTGTTGATGAAGCCAAAGCCTGAGTGGGTGGACTGCAGGTTGTTCAGCGCCTGGTGCAGGGGGGAAGAGAAAACTTACAGTGAGGGTGCATGGTGCTACATGATAGGATGATAGGGTGTGTGGTGCACGTTTGTCCCCCACTCCATAGCCCTCCTCCAGAGTTGGCTCCTCTGAAGCAGAGCCAAGTGTCCAGCTCACACACCTGGAACAGGCTCCAGAGGGAGCAACTGCACTGTGTCACATGACCAAATCAACCACGATAAAAGTTTGACTTTTAATAGACATCAATGCTTCTACAAATGAAGTATTCAGAAGGGTCTATACGTGTCAACAGTCATTAAAACATGTGACTAATAAAGGCTGAGTGACTCATCTATTAGAGTGATTCAGGCTGGTCAATAAATTTGATTAAATTAATGATTTTAATGAATGATTTTAATTAATATGAGCTGATATAGTGTTATCTGAAGCAATGCAGCTAAAATAGCCATCTCCCTGTATGCTACAGTGTGATGTCCCCCTGTGTCTCCATGTGTACCTGTCTCATGTCCCCTTGCGCGGTGAAGATGACTGCCTCCAGCCCATCATCGGTCACACTCAGCCCCTCCTGTTGGACGACCTGCTGCAGGCGTGCAAGGACTTGGCCATCGCTGAGTTTGGAGTAGCGCAGCACGGCACAGCGTGACTGGATGGGCTCAATGATTCGGTCTGAGGCGTTACAGGCCAGAGCGAAGCGTGTGGTTTTAGAGTAGATCTCCATGATGCGCCGCAGAGCCTGCTGAGCACCGTCTGTCATGCTAAACACACACACTTTTATCTACTAGAATTATTTAACATACTGATAATCAATTCTTTTCAGAGTAGTGTGGTCACAATACTAAAAATAAATGGACACAGTACAGATTTTTACGCCACAATGATAATAATTAAGAAAGAAAAAAATGTCTTTAGGCAATGTAACCTATGGCTCCTTATATGTGTGTAATCCCTCGGTGGTCCAGGTAGGTTCCATAGTGGTCCACGGGCACATACTAGTCTATGTGCTCTTATACTCGTTCTGATACAGCTCAAGACTGATACAACTCAAGACTAAAGACTTTCAGGAAAGGTTCCTTTCTGTCCTGAGAATGGGACTTTGTAGTATCAATACCTGCTCAAATGAGTATCTGGTTCCCATATTAGTTTTCGTATTGATCCAGCTTTAAAAACCCTACATCACAAGTACCATAAGTTATCGCAGTATTGTCTAATGGAATAACATAGGACATAGACCCATAGGCCTAGAACATTTAATGGAGATGGGGGCAGGTAAATCATGTCATCCAAAGAGTGCACTGTACTCCAAGGTCCAAACGGAATTTTCCTTTTGAAAAATATCCTGTCATCAACAGGGAAGAGTCATGTGGAGATTATGACATTACATTCAGCAATCTAAAAACTTAACAATTGTAAGATAAGAAATATATTAAAAATATGAAATTAAAAAGTGAAGCTTATAAAACCTGTTAGTGTTGTTTTCAGCTAATTTACCATTTTCACAGCAATAAAGAGTAACATGGTAATCTAAATATGTGATGTGTTAACAGTTAATACCCCATAGAAGTCTTTATTTATAAAATTATTCATAAAAGTATTGCATTGTCTCATATTGTGGACTGGAGTCCCACTTCTCATTTCTATACAGCAGTGATGTATTTCAATAAATGTCTCCTCTGAAATAAGCCAAACCATAAGCCTCATGTCCTTGTCCTTCCTTTCCTTCCCTCCCTCCTCAGCCAACTAACCTGTCGGCCTCGTCCAGGATGATGATCTTGTGTCGTCCTTTGGGGAGGGTCACCTTTTGTTGAGCAAACATCTTGATTTTATTTCGGACCACATCAATACCTCTGCAACAGAATACAAAGATACAAACGTTAGGCCTAAAGCCCCCTCCTTAAGCCCCCTGTATATACCCAACCCTCCCCGTATCCCCGTGTTGGTCAAGGGGTCAGACCTGTCGTTGGAGGCGTTCAGCTCCAGCACTGCGTCCTTCATGGAGGCTCCCAGCAGGGACCGGGCCAGGCACAGGATACTGGTGGTTTTCCCAGTGCCGGGAGGCCCTGAGGAGCACAGAGCGCATGAAGAGCTGTGAGATGTGCACTAAACTCAGCTCTGCAGAAATCAGGTACGTGTCATCAGATCATAAAGCAAAGTTTGTAATAGCTAAGCCTTTAGAATCCAAACAAATCAAAGTGCACTTCGAGTTGCATGACTATACCCTCTTCTACTGAAATGACAATTGCCCCTGGCACGCACATGCACGTGGCCTGGTGGTCTGGAGTTTATTTAACAAACTCTTTATTCCCCTGTTCCCGGGTAGTGCGTGCACAAATCCCACCTGCTATGATGATGTTGGGCACATTTCCTTCTTGGGCGAACACCTCCAGGCGGCTTACCGTCTCCTCATTCCCCACGATCTCACACAGTTTGAGCGGCCGGTACTTCTCCACCCAGGGCAGCTCGTACGCGCCCGCGGTTCTCTCCACGGCTCTCTCCGGGGCCGTGCTGCTGGATGCGATGCAGGGCTCCTGCTCCATATCAACCTCCATGTTTAGCGCGTTTTTCTGCTTCTGCGGCTCGAGAGGTTTCCTGTGCGATCATTCTCTGTGGCTCAGTGGCTCCTCTCTCTGGCGACAAAGGGCTGTGCACCACTGTCAACACAACAGACGTTTCAGCGCAACAATGTGTGAGTACAATACTGGACAATTCAGGTGCAGCTAGGCTCTGAGATTTCTGACCATCTGTTTGTAACCCTACTGCTGCCCCATAGTCTAGGCCTAAACTAACGCAAAACAATACACAATAGCCTAATTACATAAGCTTTAAATTGACCAGCTGCGAATGGGTCCAAATATATGCTTAGGTGTAACACTGCAGTGCAGCTGTAGTCCAGACACACAAAAACTGTCCAGACACACAAAATTTCTCAGTGATGAGAACAGGCCAACCCAGGCCCCAGGCCTAATGAGGCACAGAGTAGTGTTTAGTGCCTAAAGTATTCACACACTTGTGTTCAGGGCCTATAGTGTTCAGGGCCTATAGTGTTCAGGGCCTATAGTGTTCAAAGCAGGAGTCTCCAACCTGTAGCTTGGGAGCTACCAGTAGCTCTCCACCCTCTTCTAAGTAGCTCATCAAAGGATTTTTGAATTAACTAATTAAACTAACTAATTACTACCTAACTTTGCATGCTAATAAATGGATAAAGGTTTATGTTTTATAAGTATATCTTGCTGTTCTCCATCTAAGACTTTCCTATGCTCAGTTTCTTGTGACTGCTAAACAGGGAGACCAGATGTCTCTGTTTACCCGGGACAGTCCCAGTTTTGAGTCCTGTGTCCCCTGTCCCAGCAGATTTATACAAAACCAATGACTTCTCCCAGTTTTATACAAGAAATGTCTCAGGTGTTCCTATTTTTGACCAGTTTCATCTAAACCAGGACTAATTTAAGACTAAACCAGAACTACATCTGGTCTTAACCAGGACTATCACAATTTTTGACTAATCAGATCCCAGCCAACAGTAAAGAGGAGCATAAATTATCATTTGTTTAGCCAAAATACAGAAAATGACAAAGCAAAAAAATGACGTGTCAGACGTCCCTCAGATTATGTTGCACACTCTTTTCACAATTGTATTTATACTGACCATCTCAGTTTGGGTGTTTCCCAGTTTAGAATCTTGAAAATCCGGTTGCCCTACTGCTAAAATGAGCAGCTCTGGTATTTTCTTTTTGTAAAGGCAGCTCACCAGAGGAAAAAGGTTGGAGACCCCTGGTTCAGACCCTATAGTGTTCATGTTTATAGTGTTCATGTTTATAGTGTTCATGTTTATAGTGTTCATGTTTATAGTGTTCATGTCTATAGTGTTCATGTTTATAGTGTTCATGTTTATAGTGTTCATGTCTATAGTGTTCATGTTTATAGTGTTCATGTCTATAGTGTTCATGTTTATAGTGTTCATGTTTATAGTGTTCATGTCTATAGTGTTCATGTTTATAGTGTTCATGTCTATAGTGTTCATGTCTATAGTGTTCATGTTTATAGTGTTCATGTTTATAGTGTTCATGTTTATAGTGTCCAGGTATATAGTTTTCATGTTTATAGTGTTCATGTTTACAGTGTCCAGGTATATAGTTTTCATGTTTATAGTGTTCATGTTTATAGTGTCCAGGTATATAGTGTTCATGTTTATAGTGTTCATGTTTATAGTGTTCATGTTTATAGTGTTCATGTCTATAGTGTTCATGTCTATAGTGTTCATGTTTATAGTGTCCAGGTCTATAGTGTTCATGTTTATAGTGTTCATGTCTATAGTGTTCATGTTTATAGTGTTCATGTTTATAGTGTTCATGTCTATAGTGTTCATGTTTATAGTGTTCATGTCTATAGTGTTCATGTCTATAGTGTTCATGTTTATAGTGTTCATGTTTATAGTGTTCATGTTTATAGTGTCCAGGTATATAGTTTTCATGTTTATAGTGTTCATGTTTACAGTGTCCAGGTATATAGTTTTCATGTTTATAGTGTTCATGTTTATAGTGTCCAGGTATATAGTGTTCATGTTATAGTGTTCATGTTTATAGTGTTCATGTTTATAGTGTTCATGTCTATAGTGTTCATGTTTATAGTGTTCATGTCTATAGTGTTCATGTTTATAGTGTTCATGTTTATAGTGTTCATGTCTATAGTGTTCATGTTTATAGTGTTCATGTCTATAGTGTTCATGTTCTATAGTGTTCATGTGTTTATAGTGTTCATGTTTATAGTGTTCCAGTGTATATAGTGTTCATGTTTATAGTGTTCATGTTTATAGTGTCCAGGTATATAGTTTTCATGTTTATAGTGTTCATGTTTTATAGTGTTCCAGTTTATATGTTTCATGTTATAGTGTGTTTATATGTTTATAGTGTTCATGTTTATAGTGTTCATGTCTATGTCATGTCTATAGTGTTTATAGTTTTAGTGTTCTATAGTGTTCATGTTATAGTGTCCAGTGTATTATAGTTTCATGTTTATAGTGTCATAGTGTTATAGTGTCAGTTATAGTGTTCATGTTTATAGTGTCATGTTTATAGTGTTTAGTGTTCATGTTATAGTGTTCATGTTATAGTGTTCATGTTATAGTGTCATGTTTATAGTGTCCAGGTCTATAGTGTTCATGTTTATAGTGTCCAGGTATATAGTGTTCATGTTTATAGTGTTCATGTTTATAGTGTTCATGTTTATAGTGTTCATGTCTATAGTGTTCATGTCTATAGTGTTCATGTTTATAGTGTCCAGGTCTATAGTGTTCATGTTTATAGTGTCCAGGTCTATAGTGTTCATGTTTATAGTGTTCATGTTATAGTGTTCATGTTTATGTTTATGTTTAGTGTTCATGTTTATAGTGTCATGTTCATGTTATAGTGTTCATATAGTGTTCATGTTTATAGTGTTCATGTCTATAGTGTTCATGTTTATAGTGTCCAGGTCTATATAGTGTTCATGTTTATAGTGTTCATGTTTATAGTGTTCATGTCTATAGTGTTCATGTTTATAGTGTCCAGGTCTATAGTGTTCATGTCTATAGTGTTCATGTCTATAGTGTTCATGTCTATAGTGTTCATGTTTATAGTGTCCATGTTTATAGTGTCCAGGTCTATAGTGTTCATGTTTATAGTGTTCAGGTCTATAGTGTTCATGTCTATAGTGTTCATGTTTATAGTGTCCAGGTCTATAGTGTTCATGTTTATAGTGTTCAGGTCTATAGTGTTCATGTTTACAGTGTCCAGGTATATAGTGTTCATGTTTATAGTGTTCATGTTTATAGTGTTCATGTCTATAGTGTTCATGTTTACAGTGTCCAGGTATATAGTGTTCATGTTTATAGTGTTCAGGTCTAGTGTTGAGCAAATAGGACGGTGAGTGTATTGCTGAGCAGTGAGCATTTCACTAACGCAGGACAGAAGAAACTGTGGAGAGTCCCGTGTCCGTGTCCATGCCCGTGTCCGTGTCCGTGCCCATGCCCGTGTCCAGCAGCGGGAGGCGCTGCCGCTGCCTGCAGCCAGTCCTCGGAGCAGAAGCAGAGGGAGAAGGCGGGAGGCGGGCCGCTCTCTGCGCGGGCTCCGGACCGGCCATCTTGGAAATCCTGAGCGCCGCTTGTCCCGCCGTGTGTCCCGTCTGAGCCGCCTGAGTCCCGGTACTTCTCTCCCTGTGGCCGTTCCGTCCTCCCGCGCACCGCCGCTCTCCGTGCATGTTCCAGAGCCTGAGGAGCAGATACTCTACGCTAAAGAAGCACCATGTCGACTGCTACACCGAGTAGGGAGGGAGGGCGGCCGGCGGCCTCCACTCCCCTGTCCCCGACCAGGATCTCCCGCTTACAGGAGAAGCAGGACCTGCAGCAGCTCAACGACCGCCTCGCCGTTTACATCGACCGAGTGCGGGCTCTGGAGCTGGAGAATGACCGCCTCATGGTCAGAGTGTCGGAGAAGGAAGAGGTGTCCACCAGAGAGGTGAGTTTTTCGGGTGTGTGAGTGTCGGTGATGTGGAGGCTGGAGCGGCCGTAGCAGCAGCTAAACTTGTGTACACAGAGCGGAGCCTGGAGGCCCGCAGCGTGGAGACCTGTGACTGAGCTCACGCCCACAGACTGTTACTTATTCAAATAGTCTAATATATAATAGATTATCCAAGATGTAATCAGGTATCTGTTAACTCTGCCACTTCAGAGGTGATTAAGTGATTCAGTTTTAATTTGAGCATTTAGAAACTTTGGGATTCAGTACCATTCACAAAAATCAGATCCATGTGCTTACTGAAATGAAGCATATAGGTCACTCAGTCTGAGCTGGGTGCCTCAGTTTGTGTAGTGACCTGTAGATCAAACTTTAACCTGGCTTCATAAAAGCATTTGGGGGAATCCCTAATAATGTCAAGATTTTAGATTTCATTGTCATGGAACACAGTGAAATTAGGTTTAGAGCTTCAAACACTGCAGATTTATAATGCAAAGTGTAATACCGAAGATGCAAGACCCCATAAATAACCCCAGTGTAAACAAGAGCACAGTGATGCTTCAGTGTAAAAGATATGTAATAAACAGTAAGAGTCTGAGCAGCAGCAGCACAAAGGGCAAAGGAGCAGTGAGGTGCATCACAGGGATGTGCTGATCACACTGGGAGGGTTAGATATTGGTTAAAGCAGTTTAAAGTTGAGCAAAAATAATAAAAACATAAATGATCCATCAATCTTTAACCTCTTACCATTCTGGCCTATTTTTCCTCAAATGACTCTCAGTTCAAACTGAATCTATTTCTGAACTCTTTGAAGCACAAACAAATGGCTGGACTCTTTGTGAAGCTGAGGCTCTGTAGTTTTGGCCTCTGCTGTCTGATCTACTCTTATTTTAAGTGAGAACAAGGTCTACACAGCAAAGTCAGGGTTTCAAATTACACGTGAATTATTTGGGGTAAATATAAGAGTAGGTATAGCTGGTGTCCCTGGGGATGGTCTGATAGAAAGCAGATTGAGCATTTGTTGGATCTTTACAATTTACTTGCTAAAGCTGAAGCAGATGTCACTAAAAATTAGATTTAGGAAGAATTAACTCATTGCAGAATTAATATTAAAGGTGGGTTTGGAGTACAAACTGGTCCAGATTCTTCTCAGAATGGTTGGTTTGTCTCTGCTGGCCTGGCCTCAGGATCCCTCGGAAGAGCTGGAGGAAGTGTATGTGGAAAGGAACTTCTGGGCCTCCCTGCTCAGATTGCTGCCTCCACACCTCAGCCCCAGATAAAACAGAAGAAGATGGATGGATAGTGTGAACAATTAGCCACTATATTATGACCTAAATGAGTTTATTTTTTAACTTTGTACTAAACAGACTAAAGTTGATCTTTATGTTTGGCAGACTTAACTTTAAAATCTCACTTTTTTAAACTCCTCTTCTGTTGTGTGGCAGATGTTTTGAATGTGTGATTGTTTTTTTTCCAGTGAACATTTTCCCATGACCAAAATGTGGCATTGGTTGCATTAACACGGTAGAAGTTGGGTAAATGTGTGTTTGCACTGCCAAAGATCAGATTCAAATCTGAAACAACACGGGCCCAGCTCACCTTCAGAAAAATCCTCTTCAGGCTGTTGACACTGCGGCACATGCACACTCAGATCTGATTATTTGCAAGTGTGTGGAGTTCTACTAAAATGACAGAAAGGGTTAATGGTTGTTATTATACAACAGTCAGCAGATTTAAAATTTTGCAGTTTACATATTATTTTAGTAAATTTAAATCTCCAGAAATGAGATACAAATCAGATTATTGTGTGAATGTAACCACAACCACTGACAGAAAGAAATCCGATTCAGGTCTTTGAGCAAAGAACCACCTGCAGGTGGTTCTAATGCCTTAACAGTGAAGTGAGCCTCCTGTGCTGTGTGTAGGTGAGCGGTCTGAAGGCTCTGTACGAGGCGGAACTGGCAGACGCTCGCAGGGTCCTGGATGAGACGGCCAAAGAGAGGGCCCGACTGCAGATCGACCTGGGCAAGGCTCAGAGTGAGCTGGACGAGGCCAATCGGAGGTACACACTTGCACGCAGACGCACGCACACACATGCACACACACACACACACACCACTCTGCTGTTTTACTTTCACTTTCACATCATGCCACAGACAAGATCACTTTCTGACAAGGGTTTCTTCATGATCTTTCCTATTGGATATTGTCAAGGTCAAAAGTATCTGATCAAAAAACTTGTGTTACTGTAATTGATCAGATTTGAAAAGCTCTTTATGCTTATTGTATTAAAGCCATGTAATTCTGATTTAAAATGTAATCACAAGTTAGCGATTACTGTACAAATTGTCTCTGCTCATTTCTATAGTGAAAACATAAATAACAGCTCTCTGTCACCTGCTCTGATCTGCCAGAGCACAGAAAATACTCATATTTAAATGAAGTTTTACACTTTTTAATCAAGTTTTGTATAAAAGTGTGAGGTAAAATGCTTCTAAAATTGTGTTAAAAAGTAAGAGTAAATAATATTTTGCATTTGTACTTTCATTACTACTTCATTACATACTTTCACTGATGTACAATTCGGGCAGTGGTTGCCCTTGTAATTGAGCACATTATTAGCCATGTAACTGTATTTTTACTTCAGTACAAATTTCAGTATTCTTCCCACCACTGGATATTCATCATCTTTGATTGCTTTACAAAGAGTGACTAATGGGGAACATGTGTTCCTCTTTTAACAGTTTGAAGAAGAAGGACGGTGAGCTGGCAGCAGCCGTGTCCCGAGCTGGAACTCTGGAGGACAAACTGAACCAGAGCGACGCTGCTCTGTCCTCTGCTCAGAGCCACAGTGCTGCCCTGAGCGCAGAGCTGGGGGACGTCAAGGGCCAGCTGGCTAAGGTACATCCTGCTCCCTATAACCACTGGGCTGGGTATCATTAAGAAGCTGCTGATACAATACATACCTCAGTACATAGGCCACGATATGATATCTCAGTACGGTGCACTTTTGATTCAATACAATATTTCAAATCGTTGCGATACAGTTCAATAAAAAATAAAAGCTAAATCATGGCTGTGATAGTAGCCTTTAACCTTTTTTGCTGTATTAGTAGCCTTTGTGAAACCACTTCTTGTGCGAAGTTCATATGAAACACAAACATTTTAATCCTCAAAACAGTGAAAATGTCAAATGTGTCGCATAAATGAGTTTCCTTCCTCTAAACAAGCAACAAAACTGTAGCGCTATAACAATAATTTAGTAAAATATACCAAAATGTACTCTTGGTGATATATCAATACAGCAGCCCACGATATTGATACTGTATCATTACATTAAATGATACGATATATTGATATTTTGATATTTTTGCACACCTTTAATAACCGTAAGGTTTGAGGGCAGGATTACAGCACTTTGGAGCTCTTAAATGCTCTCAAAATCACAAAACCTTTAGGCATTGTATTGTAGTATTGTATATCATAGTTTACTGTATTTTAACTTCTTAGGTTCTTTTTAAAGACAATGCAGTAAAGTGTATTTACCTTGTTGACATGTTTCGGCTGCTAGCAGCAAGCCATCTTCCGAACTGTCACCGGTGTTGGTGGTGACGTGTCGTATATCAGCTGTTGTTACTTCCTGTAGGCGTGGTCAACCTGATGGACCTGGCAGGTCGCTCAGACTGACCACGCCTCCCGTTGCCCGGTGTTCTCTGAAGAAGGGTGTCCCAGGTGTGTGAAAGGAGGAACGCTCCGTCATCACGGTTAATGCTGTCCGTGCCTCGCTTTCTGATTTCAATGGCCTCCTTGATCCAGCGTTTGAACTTGTTGTTTTCCGATCCAATGATCCGAGCCCCGTCCCAATCCATAATGTGGTTGTTCCTTTTACAGTGGTCTGATATGGCGGATTTTAGGTTTTCCTGTTCTGCTTTGTCAGGGAGACTCACCAGAACACAAAAAGACAAAGCAGAACAGGAAAACCTAAAATCCGCCATATCAGACCACTGTAAAAGGAACAACCACATTATGGATTGGGACGGGGCTCGGATCATTGATATACGACACGTCACCACCAACACCGGTGACAGTTCTGAAGATGGCTTGCAGCTAGCAGCCGAAACATGTCAACAAGGTAAATACACTTTACTGCATTGTCTTTAAAAAGAACCTAAGAAGTTAAAGTATATAAGAAGACATAATGAACATCATTGGCTTAGTTTACTGTATTGTTGCTAATGCTAGTGCTAATTCCCTGAGCAGCGGTCAAGCCTTAAATACATGAACATCCAATTCAGTGGATTCTATGGAAGCAAAACTGACTAATTTAAAGACCCTGCACCAGATTTTTTTTTTTTTAAATATGAAAAACAAAACTAGTTCCCTTTAAACAAACATTTGCAAATTAATTCCTAGCATCCTAAATACTGACTGTAATGTGTTTATAAATGCATTTCCCAACTTTCAGGGGCCTAACAACAACTAGCATGCTAGCAGCACACCATCCTTACTTTCTGGTTCATGGAGGATAAAAACGCTCTAATTAGATGCAGATAGCCCACAATAGTCTCATTTTGACCGACACAGGTGCTTTTACATGATCTTTTCTGGGGCAAGAGAAGTGAGACTTTATTACATGACACTAGTCTGGCACGGTCCCTTTTAAACACCTTTGTTTGATTTGACAGCCAATCCACAGACTGTTATTTTGCAGATTATAGCCTTAATATTGTCTTTAGTCCCATATCATTTGCACTGTGGTATCAAAACTGTAACAAGATCAACTCAAGGGCGCCATCCCGACCACCGGTGAGCATCATGTAATCCCTGTGCCACCCACACCTCTTGAAGCCGCTGTATGTCCCCGTCTCAACTGTACAATCTGTCTCTGTGCTGTCTTTAAAGCAGACCTATTCTGTAGAATGGACTTTTCTGAACTTTTGACTGTGTTATACTTGTTTCCCATCACCATTTTCTCACTGAAAGTAATTATTGAAGTATGTATTTAGAGTGATTTTTGCACTCGTACACTCAGAATTGTTGATACACCTGTGGCAAAGAAAGAAAAATCAACAGTCATCACTGAAATAACTTGAAACTGATAAAACCAATAATAAATAAAAACTTACTGAAAATGGTCCTATGTGAATCAATCATTAAAAAAACAAAATAATGAAACTGACCTGGACAAAAATGTTGGTTCCCTTAACTTAATATTTTGTTGCACAACCTTTTGAGGCTCTGCAAACAAATTATTTCAGTCACTGTCAATGAGACTTCTGCACTGATCAACTGGTATTTTGACCCATTTCTTGTGAGCAAACTGTTGTCTCAGGTTTGAAAGGTTCCTTCTCCAGACGCATGTTTCAGCTCAGATGTTCAGTAGGTTTAAGATCTGGGCTCACAGAAGAACACTCCAGAACAGTCCAATGTTTTGTTCTTAGCCATTCTTGTGTGTTTTTAGCTGTGTGTTTTGGGTCATTATCCTGTTGGAAGAACCATGACCTATGACTGAGTTTTCTGACACTAGGCAACACATTTCATTCCAAAATACCTTGGTAGTTTTGAGATTTTGTTGTACCTTGCACAGATTCAAGACACCCTGTGCCAGATGCAGCAAAGCTTCACAGTAGGGACAGTATTCTTTTCTTGGTCTGCTTCATTTTTGTGTCTGTGAACATAGAGCTGATGCGTCTTGCCAAAGAGCTCCTGTTTTGTCTCATCTGTCCAAATAACATTCTCCCAGAAACTTTGTGACTTGTCCATATGCGTTGTGACAAATTGTCTCACTTTTTTATGATTTGTTTTCAACAGTGGTGTCTGGTGACTGATGGATGGTGTGATCTGACACTGATGTACTTTGCCCTTCAAGTTCACATTTTATTTGTTTGGAGGTTGTTCTGGGCTCATTGGTTCCATTCGTATGATCCATCTCTTCAAATTGTCACAAATTTTCCTCTTGCAGCCATGTCTAGGGAGGTTGGCTACAGTCCTGTGGACCTTAAACTAGAGCCCTGCAATCCCATGGGCCTCCCATGGGACCCAACGCAAAACAGTGCAGCGTGGGAAACATTTTGAAAGCTCACTCCGTTCGCGGGAGGGATGATAATCTGCTGTCCCGCAAACTAAATCTGAGTGTAAAGTAAAATATACAAATGATGAATGTAAGTATATCATGCATAATTTGTGCTGGATATTTTATTTGTCATTAATAAAAAACATTTTAGAACTAAACCACGTCTAAAACCAGGACTAAAACAGGATTTAGCCAGGACTTAACCATGCCACTGGACAGCCCACCACACCTCCTCCCATATGTAGCCCAGTTCCTTTTGCTTCTCCATGTTTGATAGAGCTTAAGAAAGCAAAGTTTCCCATCCTGCGGGACTTGCGAGAGTGGGACAAAATATTGCAGATGCGGGTGGAAGCGGGACTGAAAAATAGAATTCTTTGCGGGAGAGGGACTGCACAATGCGGGAGCAGACGGGAGCGGGACTGAAAATTCTGTCCCACGCAGACCTCTACTTTAAACTTCTGAAGAACATGTGTAACTGTAATCACAGGAACATCAAGCTGCTTGGAGATGGTCTTATTGTCTTTATCTTTAACCTGCTTGTCTATCATTTTCTTTCTAGTCTCCTGACACAGTTCTCTTCTTCTCTTTCTCTGGTCCATGTTCAGTGTTGTGTCCATCATGTCTCCAAACAGCACAATGACACATGTCCCCCTTTAAACAGACAGACTGACTGAGGACAAGTTTGAAGAACCTGTGATGCAGATTAGAGACACACCGAAGTTTAACATGTCCATATTGTCCAGTTACTTACAATCTTTTGTAGAGGAACCATCATTTTTGTCGAGGCCAGTTTCATTAGTTTGTTGTTTAAAATAATTCTGTTGAACAGCAAATCAAAAACAGTGTCTGAGTTTCATTGGTTATTTTTCAGTAATTTTTAAAAATGTATTATTGGTTTTCTCAGTTTTAAGTTAGTTCAGTGACCATTGTTGATTTTTCTTTCATTACCAGAGAGTACCAACAATTTTGTCCACGTCTGTAGTTAATCCGTTCTCCAGTTTTATTGCCTTAGATGGTGATACTCGTAGGATTCAGCAGCATTGAGTAGTCATTTTGGTATAAATGAGAAAAATCCTCTGCTCTAGTGTGATGTTGCAGCTGTCCACAGGAGAGGCCCACAGCACACGGCGGAAATGCGGAAGTCAGCAGACTATTTCTTTCAAAGCCATTTAAGATTATTTAAAATATATAACATAATGATCCACGGATGTCATAGGTTATAATTCTATAGCAAACACAAGCACAATATGTCTAATGTTTAAACTTTGTTCCTCTGGTGTGCGGTCCACAGGCAGAGGACAGTCATGCTGTAGCCAAGAGGCAGCTGGAGGCAGAGACACTGATGAGAGTGGACCTGGAGAACCGCTGCCAGTCCCTCACTGAGGAACTGCAGTTCAGGAAGAGCATGTTTGAGCAGGTCAGGCTGTGTGTGTATGTGGGTGGGTGGGCAGGTGGGTGGGCGGGTGGGTGTGTGGGGTCGCATGCGCATGCGATGGACCTAACTAAGCTAAGTGCATGTTCCAGGAGGTGCTGGAGTCGCGGCGGCGTCAGGAGCAGAGGATCGTGGAGGTGGACTCTGGAGTGAGGCAGGACTATGAGTTCAAACTGGCCCAGGCTCTGCAGGTACACACAGGCTTATTCTTTGGATTGACAACACTTTATAATGTTAAAATTTCATGAACATAAACCACACAAATTTTAAATATGTCACACTTAAAGCTGTAGTATGTAATTTTTCTGGTGGAGCGTCCTCTGCCTGCCACCCACTTGCGTCACGGATAAGTTACTGCTTTGCCTGTATGTATAGTACTGTATAATGTATAGGTTAGTATCAAGCACATTTATCTTGCATTTATTCAATTACACACACTTTAATGCAAAAGAATGAACTTAACAGGCCATACTCGGTGATGGTAAGACACTAATGTAGCCACAAGGGATCCATCTACAGCAGTGGTCCCCAACCTCCGACGGTCCGACGGCATGGTTAAGTCCTGGCTAAATCCTGGGGGGGGGGTTCACGCTTTTGCGGCCTGGTACCCCTGATGGGGACCCCTGATCTACAGCTATCGTCATCTGTCACCTTGGTGGGCAAGTGAGCCACTGTTGTGCCCAAAATGGTCACATCTCCATAAAGAATAGTTTTGAACCTTAAAAAAAATAAAGTCCAATTTGTAGCTTCATTTGAATTGCATGATTTCTTGTTGCAGCGTTTACTCATAGTATCACAAACACTTTGAGGTCGTTTTCACACATGTTCTCGTATGTTCTCTGGATCCCAGTGCGCACTGGATTTAGCTCTTTTTACTTTACTTTTGGATCAGTCATGTTGAGATACACCATCATTCACTACAAATATGCACCATGAACCATGTGAGAATCCATCAGCTGATTGTAAAACTTATTTCCATGACAACGTGCTTTAAGCCACAGAGGGCAATGTGAATACACACCCACATGCTCCTTACGCGATGGTCTTTCACATGAGGCCAAACACACCATGAGAACTGAACACTCCAGCTCTTTTATTTCGACTGAACTTAGAGGCAGTGTGAAAACGACCTGAGCCAGAGTGCAGACAAAAAGAAAAGTGCCCCTGATATGACAGTTATGTTATTATGTTGCAGGACCTGAGGAAGCAGCATGACGAGCAGGTGTCTCTGTACAAAGAGGAGCTGGAGCACGCCTTTCAGGCCAAGGTAAGACTCCCTTTTGTCTTTAAATCTCCACTTCTCTGTGCATGGTTTCAGAATTATGAGAATCAACCACTGTTGCCATAGTGAACAGCCATAGTAAACAAAATATTAGATCTTCTGAATGAAAAAAAGTCCTCAAAATGTTGCATCTAACAGGAAGCTAAAAAGCACAGCTAGTCCCCATCTTTTTCAGAGACATTTTGTGCTTTTTTCTGTCCATTATAAACAGCCAGACTGTCCAGTGGGGTCCATTGCAAAAGAAAATTGCATTGAATTTGTCCAGTTTACAGACTTTTTCAGTTTTTTGTAATCAGCAAAACTGATGTAAAACAACTTAATTACAGAAATGGTAACTTCCTATTCAAGACTGCAGAAGTGATTCTCTGGTTGCTATGTAACTGTTGAACATGAACTTCTGTGTTTGACTTTTTTGAGAACTCAAGCCACAAATACAGGTCAATAAAGGATTACTCAAACATGTATGAATCACCCAAACTATAATTCTGAGAAAGCCAAAGATGAGGGAACACATATGTGGTTAAAGTCAGTTTCCTGTGTGTGTCTGTGCAGCTGGAGAATGCTAAAGTGTCCTCCGACCTGAGCGACAAGGCAATGAGCAGTGCCCGAGAGGAGGTGCTTGAGTCCCGCAGCCGCATCGAGAGCCTGAGCTTCCAGCTCAGCAGTCTGCAGAAGCAGGTACGAACAGGGGCCCTCCACCAGGGGCCCTCCACCAGGTTTTTAGGTTTTGTATTGGCAAGTTACCCAACTGTGCTAAACCAACAACACTTTACATGAAGGCTGACTGAGTTGGAAAAATATTGAATCTAATTTTAACTGACAAGCAGGATAGACAAACACTAAAATGGGCCTATCAAATGAAAACAAGAAACTAATTTCAGAGTATGTTTGTACAGATCTAAACTACAGAGTTAGTTTTCTTTTTGTGGAAACGGCAACCTTTGCAATTTGCTAATTGCATGCATTGAGATTGCAATTTTTTATTCGATTGCGTTTACTTTACATGGACAGGAAATTACAAAATTACTGATTAATAATTTTTTTTTAAATTAGGAACATTGTATGCTGTGTGTGATGTGTAGCAGGTTTATACTGTAGTTGTTTTTCAAATGATTGTGGTCAGTTACAGTTTACGATATGAGTTTCAGGGGAAGATCAGAAAAGGTGCTAATACAACTAGTAAAAAACTACTATCAAAAATAGCCAATTTACAGCTCACCCCTCTTCCCACAGCTGGCCACCTCAGAGGACCGTATCCGCGAGCTGGAGGAGATCCTGTCCTCAGAGCGAGACCGAGCGCGGCGCACTCTGGAGGCAAAGGAGGCCGAGATGAGTGAGCTGAGGGAACGCATGAACACACAACTCTCAGAGTACCAGGAGCTGCTCGATGTCAAGCTAGCCCTGGACATGGAGATCAATGCCTACCGCAAGCTCCTGGAGGGGGAGGAGAGCAGGTATGACCCAGGCTGGAGCTACCAGTTATAGCAACTGGGGCTACTCTGAGTCAACCTTGGGTGCTTATTTTAACTTTTTCAAAAAATGTTTTATGGGCATTAGCTTAAGTAGAAGAAGCTGCAGGGAAACCAACCTAAAACCTAACCGAAAGAGTCCTAAAGTGCCTGTGTTTCCCTGTGCCCAGACTGAAGCTGTCTCCCTCTCCATCCTCCCGGGGCGCTGTGACGAGGGTCAGCGGTTCAGCATCATCACGCTCGAAGAGAAAGAGGCAGGAGGCAGAGGAAGGAGAAGAGCTCAGGAGTGAGGAGCTGAGAGGTGAGCTGCTGTTGTCTGAGGAGTCCACGTCCTCTGGAGCAGTCAGCATCTCCCCCACTGACATGGACGGTAACGCGGTCACTCTGAGCAACCTCAGCGAGCAGGTCAGAACTACTCTGGTTTCTTAATTTTTAGTTTAGTTTATTTATTTATCAGAGACAATGCACATAAAGATTGAGCTACACTAAGAGGTCATATGCTTGTGCTAGGTTACAGCAAAATTGCTCATTTCCACCTTCAGTCCCTGGACAGGTTGATGTCATAAATGGTGTACATGCCAATAAAATAGTGATGAGTCATTCATCCAGTCAATCAATAAGTAAAACTATAGTCCCATTTGGCCTGATATATTACATATATACATATTTACAGTCATACAGGACAGATTAATGTGTGTGTCAGTGTAACAGTGTGAGATGGTTTGACTGTGGTGTGTGCTGCAGGACCAGTCACTGGGCAGCTGGAGGCTCAGTCGGCAGGTGGACGGAGGAGAGCCTCTGGTCTACAAGTTCTCCCCCAAGTATGTGCTGAAGGCCGGTCAGTCTGTCACGGTAAGGATCACTGTTAACCGTGCACCTTCTACACATCATGCTAGGGCCCCTTTTGTAGTGGCTGTTTTTTTCACCAATAGCCTCCCATCACCATGAATGTTAAGAACACAGATTATTAATGAAGTTCCCTCAATCCTGATGTTCCAGGTTTGGGCAGCAGGGGCTGCTGTAGCACACAGCCCTCCCTCTGACCTGCTGTGGAAGAGCCAGGCTTCATGGGGCACAGGAAATGATGTCATCACCTCTCTGACTGACACTGATGGAGAGGTACGCCATTGGCTTACACGTGGTTATTAAATTAGTTTGTGTTTGTGTTCGTGTTCTTAGAACAACATGGTTTAAAGATACTGTGTCAGTTATTTAGATTTGGGTTAAGTTTAGACAAGTAGTAATTGCAATTAAGGCCCCAGGAAATTAATGGAAGTCAGTGTAATGCCCCATAACGTTTGTAAAGCAAATGTGTATGTGTAGGAGGTGGCCCGGAGGAGAGCCACCAGAACCCAGGTGGAGGACGGAGAGGAGGAGGTGGAAGTCAATGGCACGGTCAGTACAGGCTATGTGGTGTAGTGATCACCTCAATGTGCAACACAGGGAGAATTCCATATCTAACTCCGTCACACTGAGTTAAATCATTTACGTTCCATATTTAGTCTTATGCTCCAACCCAGCCATTCCCTTAACAATCCAAAGATCCCATCACACGCCATAATTCCCACTCTATTCAAAAGAATGTTTATTTTTTCAAATTACAATTAGAAGTCCGAACTTTATTGGCTATTGTTGGTGGCTTTAATTATGGTTTCAATACATTTAAACACATTATGTAAAGTTTTTTCTTTTCTCTGGTTGTGGTCTTGACAATCTTTGGGACCCCATTTTGGGAGCCACAGCTTTTAGCCAACTCTTCTGTGTTTAGCATTTCAGGAGACTTTGTGCAAAGTCTTTTCAAAGCTTTTAACCATGATATAACATTTTTCCATCTCATTTACCCTCTGAAGTTGTATTTGGAATGATTCAAGCCCACCGTGCTGTATGCACTTTGTTTACTTAATTTGCTGCTCTCGTGTGATGTGCAGTGATCCATCCTCTGGGCCCACAGCATGCAGTGATTGGTTGTGATGAGATTTAAATTGGCTTATTTTCCTTTCTGGAAATCAGTGGACCTGTTTTTTTTTTAAGTCATTTTGGGTCAATATTGTGATTTAAAATGTGCAAATTATAATATAACGATCCACTTAGATTTTAAGTATAGAACTATACTGTGATATCACATGAACACTGCCCCAAGAAATGTTTTTACGGAGCACTTCAAAGCTATGGATACACGCTTCTAACTCCGGCACCTACAGAAATGCCCTATCCCTGATGCAGTGCTGAAAGCTTGTGTTTGTTGCAGGGGCGTGGCTCATCTCGGGAGTGTGCAGTCATGTGATCCACACCGCCAGAGGAGCAAGCTTTTCGGAACACTCCAAAAGCAGCCTTTCTTAAAAAACACGTGGAAATGAAAAAAAAAAAAAGTTTGTTAGCTTGTGTGTTTTTAAGACTCTGAAATTTTCAAATTTAACTCAGAACTCAGTTCAACCTCTTTTTTTTCTCCCAAACTTCTATGACGATAAGTCCTCAGAACAGCAGATGCCACCTGTGTGAGGAGGCCGCTCTGGATCCAAGCTTATGAAAAACCATGACTTTACGATTTATCTGAAGACAATTGCACTGTATCATTTTTCTTTTAGTTGTTGTTATAATAATGTGAGGAAGGACCCATTTTTTTCACATATTTCCACTATTACTCTACAGTGAAAATTATGCTAGTTTTGTCATATCTTTGCAGAATGTTGTGTAGAACTTTGTTTTGGCTCTTTCTCAAACTGCCCCTTCTCCCTCTCAGACCCTTTAACCTTCACTCACTGGAAATAGTTACGGCAAACTTGGTCCAGTGAAGATTTAAAGAAACTATATGCAGCCTGTGTGCTTAGTTAAAAAAACAAAAAAACAAAACACAGTCACTACACTACAAACACTACAATCACAACTACACCTGACACCAGAGCCTTAACCCGCAGATAGAGACATAGCCAAGTTTGTCTCATTCTCAGTATATGGACAGGCCTCATGTGAATGCTCAGAACCTACAAAATTCCCTCACTGAGCTGAGCGGTTTCAGGTGCTAGGGTTTATATAGTGACCTGTCGTATCAGTGAGAGTCCTTTTTAGGTTTAAACCAACTGGATTTCAACATTGAAATGGCAAACCAAATGTGAGGCTCATTCTGTTTTCTGATTGGCATTGGATAATTGTCTTGAACCAAAACACCAAATTATAACACAAATAACTTGTCCATCATGTCCAATGTTTTTGTGATCAAGAATAAATTGACATTACAATAGTTCTCAGTAAAAACTCTTTTTGATTTGGACATGTTTTTACCCTATATCCAGGGACACAGATGGCTCATGTTTATGGAATTATAATATAAATCCTTTTAGTTTTTTAATTCTAATCCTGTAGACATGAATTAAAAAATGCCCAAAATGCATTCTGTTGTCAAAGGTGAAATGTGAGTACTGGTTCTCGTGGTGATCTTCCCGTGGGGCTGAGTTTAGGGGACAGTGCTTTGCTGCTGGAGTAAGGGCCATGGCAGTGCTGCGTACAGTTTGAAGTGAGAGGGGGGAGGTGCTGCCTTAGAGAGAGCCTTCATCATTCTAACTCTCAGGGGGTGTCATGAGCTCCACTACAGCCACGGACAGAGTGCTGGGGCCACTTTTTTTTGGCACGTCCTCTGGAAAGTAACTAATTACAAATGCTCATATTACTGTAATTGAGTAGATATTTGGTTAGTTGTATTTTAAAGCTTGTCCTTATACTTGCAATTGAGTATAATACTAGCCATGTAATTGAAATTGGTTACAGTTGACAACATGAATACTGAGTAGTAGTAGTACAAGCCCCAATAGCCACGATCCACAGCTGTCTCAACTGTCACCTCTGTCGCTACTCTAAATTTACACACATAATAGCATCCCTGCTCTGATTGGTCAGAACTCAGAAAATATGCAGGCTATAATTTAGTTTATATAGATTGCAGCTCTAAAATGTCTCTAAATTCTGTGTACTTTTTACTTAAGTATGATTTTGGAAGCAGTAATTGGGTGTATTTTTATCTATTTAAACTGTACTTTTACAGTACTCATTACACCACTGCTGATACTGATTGGCCAACTTGTTTCCTAACCTGACAGGCCTGCAGCAAGACAGGAACAATGCAGCCAGAGGTCACCTTGTCAAAAATAAACTGGTGTCCTTGGGCTGTGCTGTCCCATCAGAGGGCACCCATTTTCTCAGTGGTCCAGGCCTTCTCCTGACAAAGTCCTCCAAATGATGACCGTGCCCAGCCAAGGGGGCACAGACAGAGACAGCTTCAGTCTCTGCTCATCAGTGGACTGCACTGAAGCCTTCACACTCCTTTTGTATTTTATTTTTATGCTATCATGCACATGTGATAAGCTAAATGTGATTTATGATGAACTGTCAATCATGATTCTGTCTGAAGCTTGGTTAAACTTGAGGTCCAGATAATCTCTGTGAAACACTCAGCTGCTGTCTGAACAGAAGCGCTCCGTTTGAGCAGTGGCACCAATATAAATGTACTTTTCAACTTGTAATAAATCTTTTTTTATCAGTACAATTGTGATTATTCATATGTGGTTGTACAAACAACTATCTGATGTTATGATGTAACATGTAAATCATGTAATTGTTGCAGCTACTGTTGTAGAAGATATTGTCAGTAATAATTAATTTCCAAAGCCTTGGCCAACCATGGCCAGAGAGCAGCAGCCTCTGTCACTGAGCAAGTTGGTGCCAGTCTGCTCTCCGTGGCTCTGAGCGCTCAGTTCTTCTACCTGGATTACTAAACTTCACACATAAAGGCAGAGGGACTGTTCACAGTGATGAGTTGAACACAAGGTTTCCTAAAGAGGAGCCGGCTCTATCTGCTGAGCCTCATCAGGTTAGGTCTGCTCTAGGTCTATCGCAGAGATCAGATGCATTTATACAAAGACATGACTATTGCTTCACAGCATAAATATACATTTCCATCACAATCACTATTGGTACTTTTTCTAAAAATTTTGATGGAGGCAAGCACAGGGGGGATTGATTATGTTGTATTTTACAATGAAATATCTAAAAAAGGTAAATACACAAATGTTGAATTTGATAATTTATATTAATGACTATATACAATATTACAACTAAATTTGCATTTGTACTATATTTTGGCTGCCCCCATCGGCATTAAATATTACTGGCCTATAAATAGTCGTGATGCCTCCGGTAGGGGGCAGCACTGGGATCGTGGCTTTTGTACTTCTGGTTCACTGGGCGTCATGTGACACCGGGATCACGTGATCTGAACTCTGGCTCTCAGAGCCTCTGAACCAGACCGGACCGTGGACTGATGCTGAGACACGATGCTGCTGGTTCTGTCCGAGCAGCACAAAGGACATCTGTCCTTCCTGTCCACCGTGGAGCCCGAGGGTAAGGCCCGAGCTGCTCCCATGGATCGCTCCGGTGCTGTGAAACTACCCATGCTTAATATGTCCTCTCCCGTCCCTCCTGTGTCCTCTCCTGTCCCTCCTGTGTCCTCTCCTGTCCCTCCTGTGTCCTCTTCTGTCCGTCTTGTGTCCTCTCCTGTCCCTCCCCTGTCTCTCCTGTCTCTCCTGTCCCTCCTGTGTCCTCTTCTGGTCTCTGATATCAGTGGTGGCAGAGTTTGGACGGATCGCTCTGGACTTCCTGAGACGAGGGACAAGCCCCAAGATCTACGAGGCTGCAGCAAGTAAGAGCTCCACACAACAGTAAAGACAACAGTATTATTCAGATATGTTGAAATATTTTGTACAAATACAAATGTTGTATAAGTGGTTCATAATTTGACACTCACACACACGTTTTATAGACACAAATATTGATTTCTTAAAGTAAAGCCAAATTTCATTGCTTTCTGAAAGGAACTCATATCTTTGTGCAAATCTTTGAAATCTTTGAAATTCCTTCCAGTGCTTCAGTCTTCTTCAGTGGGTTGTACAGAAGAATGCCTTTACAATAAGCAGCAGCTCTTGAAAGTGACTGGCTGAAATCACGTATCTTCTGTGTGCAGACTTTGAAAGAACTGAAGTGACCATTCCACTGTCACAATACTAAAATTCCAAACTCAATACTTAGGAATAACAGACTCAGTACTCAATAGTGATTCTGATACCACAGTGACAATAGAATGTGATTTTCAACATTCATGTGGTTTTATATCTGCTGTCCTGTTGAGGAAAACAATCTTTTCCTCCCATGTTCGTTAGTTTCTGTTTAGATAAAAAATTACACTTGAGACAGAAATAAAGTCCAGATAATTTACTTATTCCAATATTAGAAAGTCATACTTGTACAAGGAGTCTGTGCTCACATTCCCATGCAGAGACTCAATGTTTTACACCTATACAATGACTTTTATACACAAACTATAGCAGGAGGCTACCGTGGTTTAGACTTAGCGCCTCTTCGTTGGTGCACAGACCAGCCAGGCGTCTTGGTACGCTGTTATCTATCTACCAAGTCCTGACATCATTCCTATCAGTAGTTCTTGTTCTGTTTAGTTAGTTTGCTATTAGATACATTGGAATATCCTGCATTTGTCTTGACATATATCTATGAGTGGCACAGCTGTGATCAGAGACCTGATCTTCACATAACCTCAATACAGTAATGAACTATAGAAGTGATTATACAAAATAGCTAAGCCCAGTTATTTATCCTAACAGTTCCTCAGTGGTCCAGGTAGATGCCATAGTGTCCATGGGGTTATACTTGTTCTGATACAGCTCAAGATCATTCTAACCCTATTCAGGAAAGGTTCATTTCTGTCCTCTTAATGGAAGTTTTTTAGTATCAATACTGCCCTACAAAGGCAAAAGATCTTAACTCTCCAGAGTGTGAAACAGAGAAAATGACTTCAAAGTTTATACCTATTATACTTTTTGTCCAGACAAAGTATAATAGGCAGGGCTCCCAAAAACTGACAACTAGTTGCTACACTGAAGAAATATTTGAATGCCAAAAAATGTTAGCTCATTAGTCAGTTCCTGTACTCGCTGGAATTGACCTGAAGCGCCTGCCAGAAGACAACAGGTTGATTAGGTGGAATCCAGGGTGTGTACTGTATTGTCTTTGATGATTTTTCTCGCTCTGCTGAGATAGCGGGAGTTGTATAATGTGGTTATGGAGTGGTGTGGGTGCTGTTGTGTATAAAAACTGTGTCTGTGGGTGCTGCAGGGAAGCTGGGTGTGTCAGTGGAGCGGGTGCAGTGTGCCGTGGAGGGCCTCATGTTCCTGGTGCTGGAGAGCTGCAGACACACGGTCAGTATCCACACAAAATCCTCTTTTCTGAACAATGTTGTGACTGACTGCATTTGAGATTTTAAACATAATATCATTTTTAGAACTGATATATGACAGTGAAATAATATTGTTTTGATTTGTAATATCAGTGGGGCTTTTGACAGCTTAGAGGTCCTATATATTACACAACACTGAGCTTTAAATCATGTTAGAATCTTATTACCTCCTCAAAAATATATCTGGAGTTGTGTTTTATTTCATTCACACATGTTTAGTATTCTGATCTAGTTGTCTGTCTACATCGCCAAAGCTCAGAATGTCCACTTTGTGATGTCATGAAGTGGTATTTTTCAAGTTAACGGCTCCTTTTACCTTCAGTTCACTTAAGATTGGCAATTCCAGGGCTGACTTCATTGAAATGATTCTAGTGAAGGTGTATGGAGGACACAGTGGAGCACTTCCTGTATTAGCACATGACATCACAAGATGGAACAGGGTGTTTAAGAGAAGAACTCAGCCTAAATTAAAGCACTTTAAAGGAAATGTAGATCCAGACTAGTGAGCAGACTATAGACTCCTGTGTGACTTCTGTCTTTTGTGCAGCTCTCTGAGACCGACTTCCTTGACTCTGTTCTGGTGCTGGGCTTCAGCCAGGACCTCAACAACACACTGCTTCAGGTCTGTCCCCATGTTCGTCCCTTATGTTCATGTCCCCTGTTCCTCACATGCATTCATACTGGTGACCTCTTCCTTCTGTGGCTGTCATTTGAGCCACGGAAGGTTCAGTGGCTCAGTGATTAGAGCAGCGGTCTCCCAGCCCAAAAGTCGGAGGAGCAATTTCCGCTTTGACCAAGGGGTTGATGGTGCAGTTTGGCAGCTTTGCTTCTGACAGTCTGTCCCAGGGCAGCTGTGGCTACAACAGTATCTTACCACCACAGAGTGTGAGGTGAATGAAGAATGACAGTGCAGCACTTTGAGGGGCTTCAACAGCCTGTAAAGTGCATTACAAGTGTAGAAAAGATTACATAATAACTTCTACGACTCATTTAAAGATGTAAACTAAGAACTAAGAACTCAAATGTTTCATTCTGCTATTTATTTACTGCAGCTGCAGCTCATGTTTCTAACACTATTGTACATTTAGAAAAGTTTTTGTGGTTTAAATCTGCTCTTTGGGTCAGTTAGTTTCAATATTATTGTTTATCGTCCATTTACTTCAGCAATAAATTGCACACACACACACTGGTGTCCTCTGTCTCCATACCCTCATGTCCTGTGTGTGTTCTAGTTGTACCTGCAGCAGAGTGCTCAGGTGCGCTCTGTCCTGGCTCAGCTCGCTCCCTCTCTGCCTGTCTACCACAGTCTGGAGTGGAGACTGGACATCAATGTGAGTATGTTCCCAAGACACACCCCCAAGACATGCCTCCAAAAACACATCCCAAACACTGGCTTTAGTCCATGTATGTCCCAGAGGTGAGACCACTGGTAATGCTACAGTGGGACTCCTCTTAGTGTTGTGGTGTTCACTGAGAATGCCATAGCGTGGAACATTCTTGACAAAGACGTGTAACATCTCTATGGCGACCAGGCGGTTGTAGGCCCTCCCTTTTAAGTCAACCATAAAATTTACAAAGTGGACCTTTAAATGACGTGCCTAGTCTTGAGCTAGAAAAGGCTTTGAGATGTCTTGTGTTGTGTGCAGATGTCCAGCCGGTCCCTGAGGCAGCAGCTGTGTCCTGTCGTGACGCTTTGCCTGGGCCTTGCCAGTGGGGGCGCCAGTGGGCAGACACGCAGACTGCTCCAGGCTCGTCCCGGGACCCTCCTGCACCTGCTGTCTGTGCTGGAACAGGCCCTGGATGCCATGAAGAGCACCCACACCCGCCGCATCCTGAGGAACATCAAGTGAGCCTGCCGCACCTTCCACATCCTCCACATCCTGAAGAATATTAAGTTAACCTGCCACACTTGTCGCACCTGCCACACCTGCCACACCTGTGTGTTCTGAGGAACATTAAGTGAAAATGTTGCACCTGCTGCATTCTCCCACCACACCCTGAGGAACATCTAATATACTGGTTCTCAACCTTTTCAATCATGACCCCCCCGTAATAACAGCTGGAAGGCTACTGCAGAAAGAGAAAGTCTTTTGTCTCATGTTTGCTTAGATAAAATAATATGCTAGGCCAACTAATAGGAATGTACAGTTCTCACTGTATTTGAAGAGTCATGTTTAAGACTTTGCCAGACCCCCAGTTTGAGAAGCACTGATTAAATGAACCTGCTGCATGTTTCTGAGAGACACATGACTATGGAGACGCTCAGGACAGGTTGAGCTCGGGACAATGACTTAAGATATGAAGCCTTGTACTTCTGATTTAGGAACATGGTGATTTTTAAAGTAAGGAAACAGGTTATGGTTAAGGTTAGGGTTTGATTAAAGAATTGTTATTATGAAGGTATTATAATTTTTTAAAGCTTTCTACCATGTTCCTTACCTTGTACCCTCAAAACCTCAAGGTCTTAGATGTCATTCTTGGATGTTTTGTATTTTGGTGACCTCTTCCGGGCCCTATTCAAACCCATCTTATGATTAGCTGGAAGATTCTGTCCAATGCTCCATATGACAATTCTCCATAAAGACACAAAAACATGATACAAAACTGTGCATAGCAACTTGACAAACATGAAGTAATGTGCAGGAGATTCATTAGTGGAATGCACGCAGATTGAGTTGTGATTGTGCTCTGAATGAGTGACTTGACACGGAGACCAAAGGAAGGGGGGACTCATTTTCAAAAATGTTAAAGGTGATGTTAACATGGTGATCTAAATATGTTACATGTTAGCAGGTAATTAGCCAGGCTGGTGCCACCCAGTGCCTCCGCTCAGTTTAATTTCTCTCCAGTGACTAGGTCAGAAATTGGAATACACTAGACGGTTTACAAGAACCCCGGAAGTGTGAGCCTGAGCACCAGCCAATCAGCGAAGAGCCATATATTTCTTCTTGATTCTCGAGATTGAGGATTTAAAGCCGGAACAAAGAAAATGGTGAATTTTATCAAGGGGAAATTTATTTAATTTATTTATTGTCCTTCTTCCTACAGGATTTGGGAAAAGCTTAATATACCAGTTAGCCCTGTTAGCGGCGCATTACATACATCACAACCAAATAGTAGCAAAATGGTTAAATAAAAAAAGTACTCGCCTACCGTCGAGCAAACAAATTCTAACGTTGCAAGATCAAACGGTTTCCACAAAGTGAAACTGACTGATGAAGCAGGCTGGCAGTTAATACCCCATCGAAGTAAAATACCCGCTCTTTAAGGGTGCGGTGGTTCGGGTGTGGTTAAGGTTAGGAACAGAACTGGAAAATGTTTTGGGGTAGATAACATGTTGCAGAAACAATTATAAAATGTGTCACTTAAAAGCTTCACCTCTCAACTTACACCATAAAATAAAACGGTCAAAAATAGGCTATAACATTTTAGGCCTGTAGCAACAAACAGAGCTTCTATGTGATCACCTCCATCCCTCCAGAGCAGACTGTTTAGCACTAACCTTTCACAATGTTGACATGACTCCAGAGACCAAAGGGGGCGCCTTTGTTCCACATTCTGGAAAAGGATGTAGTGTGTCAAAAATGTAGAATGTATATAAATTGTGAGTAGAATTACAACAGATGTATTTTCTAGTGCCATTGTGCCTTGAGATTTTACATTTAAAGGAGCACTGTGTAACTTTTCTGGTAGACAGGATGTTTCACAGTATGGCTTTAAACGTATCTATCTTTACTCATTACAAGTGTTTTAATTGCTCACAAATACCATGAAAACGTGCATTCTGACTGTGAGTATGGTCTCCTCTCCACAGATGTGACCTATTAAGTGCTTTACTTCGTAGATACAGATTTGTGTTTTTGTTTTTTTTTGTTTTTTAATAAAAGCTTAAACAATCCTTTGGTCTTTTAAAATAATTTATTTTATTTCCTTCTTTTGGAGGTAGAGTAAAACATATACTGTACATGTAATCTGTATTTGATAAAAGATTAAGTCTTTAGCATCACCTGTAGTTTTAGAGTTGTGTTCATATCGTGAACAGTCGTCAGTGACTATATGCACCATGGTAGATCTGGATCTATATTTAAAACATGCTAATGTTTATTTTCTTGACATATGGATGGAAAGTTGGGTTAAATCCATAACTGCCACCAGATACAGTCTCTGTCCAGACCTCAGAACAGGAGGGGGCGACACTGCCACAGCTCGCTCAGTACAACTTAAACCAAGAGCCGAAGAAGACGGGTCTGGAATCACGCGCATGCGTCTTCGGTCCTCCGTGCCCATGGTGCCAAACCAGCGCATGCCGCGCTGTATCCTCACGCCTGGGCTGAAGGAACCGTGTCCGCCGCTGAGAGCGGGCCGTCATGGTCGCTATGGCCGACGAGACAGAGCTGCGCCTCGGCCTGAAGCTGCTGTGTTTCCGCGCCGTGAGGAAGCACTTCAGCGCCCTGGGCGCGCACGCTACGACGGGTCAGTGCCACTGACACAACACACACACAACACACACACACACAACACACACAACACACACAACACACTCACAACACACTCACACACACTCACAACACACTCACAACACACACACACAACACACTCACAACACACTCACAACACACACACACACACACACACAACACACTACACACACACACACACACACACACACACACACACACACACACACAACACACACAACACACACACACACACACAACACACACACACACACACAATACACACACACAACACACTCACAACACACAACACACTCACAACACACACACAACAACACACACACACACAACACACTCACAACACACACACAACACACACACAACACACTCACAACACACACTCAACACACTCACAACACACACTCAACACACACACAATGCACTCACAACACACACACAACGCACTCACAACACACTCACAACACACACACACACACAACACACTCACAACACACTCCCAACACACACACAACACACACACAACACACTCACAACACACTCACACACACACACACACACAACACACACACACACACACACACACACACACACACACACACACACACACACACACACACACACACACACACACACACACACACACACACACACAACACACACACACACACACACACACACACACACACACAACACACACACACACACACACAACACACTACACAACACACACACAACAACACACACACACACACACACACACAACACACTCACAACACACACACAACACACTCACAACACACACTCAACACACTCACAACACACTCAACACACTCACAACGCACTCACAACACACACACAATGCACTCACAACACACTCACAACACACACACAACGCACTCACAACACACACACACACAACACACTCCCAACACACTCCCAACACACACACAACAACACACACAACACACTCACACACACTCACAAACACACACACTCACAACACACACACTCACAACACACTCACAACACACACACACACACACACACACACACACACACACACACACACACACACACACACACACACACACACACACACACACACACACACACACACACACACACACACACACACACACACACACACACACACACACACACACACACACACACACACACACACACACACACACACACACACACACACAATACACACACACAATACACACACACAACACACTCACAACACACAACACACTCACACACAACACACAACACACACACAACACACACACACACACACACAACACACTCACACACACACACACAACACACACACAACACACTCACAACACACACTCAACACACTCACAACACACTCACAACGCACACACAACGCACTCACAACACACACACAATGCACTCACAACACACTCACAACACACACACAACGCACTCACAACACACACACACACAACACACTCACAACACACTCCCAACACACACACAACACACACACAACACACTCACAATACACTCACAACACACACACAACACACACACAACACACTCACAACACACACACACAACACACTCACACACACACACACACAACACACTCACAACACACACACAACACACTCACAACACACACACAACACACTCACAACACACTCACAACACACACACACAACACACACAACACACTCACAACACACAACACACTCACAACACACTCACAACACACTCACAATACACTCACAACACACACAATGCACACACAACGCACACACAACGCACACACAACGCACACACAACGCACACACAACGCACTCACAACACACACACAACTAGGGCCCGACCGATATGGATTTTGTTGTGGCCAATATATGAAACCGATATAATGGGAGTTGGAGCTGCCGATAGCCGATATAATCACCGATATATTTAGTGATGTAAAAATTCTCTGTAAATCTTGAATTGTTTAAAAAACTTAGGTTTGGCTCTAGTGGATTTTAAATTGGGTTTATTTAAGGAACATTTATTGTTATTCTGACTCTTTACGTCATATTTACAGACAGTAGGTCGGCCTAATGGCATTTTTGTATCACATTCTAGCTAGTTATAAACTGTTGTTTCTGTAAAATGGGTAAGGACAAGACTTTTGTCAGGGACTGTATTATGGAACCTACCTGGGCGACTGAGGGATTACACAGATATAAGTCCACATGGGAATATAAAAGAAAGTTCTATGATTTAATGTTGAAAATCACATTGTTATTTAAATAAAGAGTTTTTATTTTTTATAATCATCAATCACAACACTAGTGCCAACACTAGTCACTGACTGAGCCTGTACTGTGTCTGCTGGTGTAGTTCTCCCATGTGGCCTGTTAGAGGAGCTGCAGCTTCATCTTACTGTATGTCAGCTGGACCATCTTCAGCCAGCGCTTAACCGCAGAGGTACAACTGTCCCTCACACGCACACACACACACATGCACACACACATACATAATGTGTGCTTGTGTGTGCAGGTGTGTCTACACTGAGCGCCTGGAGGGAGATCCTGAGACTCATGCGTGGACCATCTTCTGTAGGTGGTGTCTCTAAAACACTGCCAGTGTATAATCAGGCATTCAGGACTGTACAGTAGTATATTCTGTTCACAAATACTCACTTTTGTATTGATATGTAAAGTGTGGATGTCCATGTGTAGGGCTGAATTGACTTTTTTTTATTTTTTACAAGAATTGCAATTACGATTTGATTGTGCTTAATCTTGCAGTTCTATGCACGTGTTACAGGCGCTAGACGTGAGCGGTGAAGAAGAGGCTAAGCACCTGGTGATGAAGGGCCTGTTCTCCTCTGTTCTGTATGACTTTAAGAGCGACTTCATCAACAAAAACCTGTCCAATCTGAACACCTCCTGGTTCCTGGGCACTGCGGCTAGGTGCTTGCGACATTTTATCTTACTGAACATGGTGGAGCCATTGAGAAGGCTGACGGGGGAGCACAGGGCGGTGCTGGAGCTGCTGGAGAGGAGCGTCAGCAGTGTGGGAGTGTCACACAGCCTGGACCCGGACAAAGGTCTGTGCACTCGCACATGTGGTACAAGACACAGTACAGTGTCTTTTGATGGTGATGTAGAAAAGTACACAAAAAAAATCTGTCCTCTGGTGTTCAAAAGTGGAATTTATTGAGAGTTGTGATTTCATCATGTGTTACATAATGCACATTTAATGCAGCTCTATGGGCAATTCCAGGGCTGAAATCATCCAAATGATTCTTGTGAAGGTGTATGAAGTTTAAAAACACACTGGAACACTTCTTGTGTTGCCACAATGGAGGTTACGGAGGATGGGAGGGATGTGTTGAGTTTTGACACCCTCTTCACTGTCTTGGCAGCATAGTTCTGAGTTGACTGAATCCTTTCTAGAATCCTGCCAAAGATCCTGATCCATTACAGTGGTCCAACCTGGAGGAGACAAGTGTGGACCGGCTTCTCAGCATCAGGCAGAAATAAGAGAATCCTGTCTTGCTGAATATGAATGTCAAGTGAGAGGTTGGGGTCCACATGGGCTCCCAGGTTTGTGACAGAGAATGAGAGGGAAACTATAAAAACTATAAAGGGGGAGTTTTGAGTTGGTGTGGAGTACGAATGAGAAGGGCTTCAGTTTTTGAGCTGCTCAGCTAGACGAAGTTGTCATTCATCCACTCCCTTGTCTCCTCCTGGCAGGTCAGGTACTGATGGAGAATGTAGAGGAGGTTCCACCTGACATAGAGCTAAGTAGCATCAGCATAGCAATGGAAGGCAGGCCAAGAACCGACCACAGGGCCTCAATCTGGCCTCCTGAAGGGCCACATATGCAGCTCTATCAATCAGGTAGGACCTAAACCATTGCTGTGTCCGACAGGCCAATGAAATGATGCTGTCAGTGCAGGAGGTTATGGTCAACAGTGTTGGTGGTTGAGAGGTCCAAGAGCAGCAGATGACTTTAGTTACTTCTTAATAACACATAAAAAGATCCTAACAGTTTCAATCATCCATCCATCCATTTTCTTCTGCTTATCCGGGGCTGGGTCGCGGGGCAGCGGTCTAAGCAGGGACTCCCAGACTTCCTTCACCCTAGACACACCTCCGTGGGGACCTCGAGGTGTTCCCAGGGCAGTCGAGAGAGATAGTCCCTCCAGCATGTCCTGGGTCTTCCCCGGGGCCTCCTCCTGGGAGGACATGCCTAGAACACCTCCTGAGGGAGGTACCCAGGAGTTTGAATCATGCTAAAATAAAAATTGTGAATTGACTTTTTGGCCTCATTGATCCACCCGTATTAGGATCACAATCACAGAAAACATTTACCTACAATGGGATTGGGATGTTTCAGTTAGAGTAGGAGCATTATTTACCATGTGGGTTTATAAAAACTCAGTACTAGTCACTAATATTTCAGAAAGAATATCTCTTGTTGGGCCCTCAATAATGAATAAATCCTTGTGTTGTTAAAGCGGAGAACCAGCTGGCTCTGCTGGTGCTTCACAGGCTGCTGGACCACGGTCAGGCCAGGAGAGTGGTGCTCCAGGCTCGCTGCCCCATCACCCTTGCCTGGATACTGCACGGACGCAGCTCCCAGACTCAGCACATGCCTGAGAAGAAGACCCACACATTTGCCCTGTGCTGGGGACCAAGAAAATCCAGTCATGAAGACCAGGAACCTGTCTGCAAACGGCTCAGAGTGGACCACAGAAAGAGGGATGGGGGAGGACAAGTGGACCCCAAGCTGGGCCAACTGAGTCATGGAGATGGTGGGGAAGTAGGTGACAGTGAGGGTGACAGACCGACTAGGGTTGTAGGTGCAAGACCGGGTGGGGGTGGCAGAGAGGGTAGTTGTGGGGGTGAGGGTGTAAGTGGCAGATTGGGTGTAGATGGAGGTGGGGGTGAGGGTGTGGGTGGCAGACTGGGTGTAGATGGAGGTGGGGGTGAGGGTGTGGGTGGCAGACTGGGTGTAGTTGGAGGTGGGGGTGAGGGTGGCAGACTGGGTGAGGTTGGCGGTGGGGATGAGGGCGTTGGTGATAGAATGGGTGAGAGTGTGGGAGACAGAGAGGATGGCGGTGGACGTGAGGGTGGCAGTGGGAGTGTTGGCGATAGACTGGGTGAGGGAGTGGGTGGCAGGGTCGGTGAGGATGGCAGTGAGAGTGTTGAGAATAGAGTGGGTGGCAGGATATCACCTGAGGCATGTCCACGTGGCCACATTGAGAGTCTGGAGTTAAGGCAGTGCCAGGTGGACTGTCTGAGAGTTCTGCTCTGTGCCCTGCCCTCCTGGAGCTCCTTGAGGTCCCTCACTCTGCACAGCTATAGTAAGTAGAGGGTGCAGTGGCATAGTGATCAGCACTTGTGCATCTGTCTAAGTCTATTATTTCTCTGCACAGCCTTGTTCTCACAATCTGCTGTTGTGGAGCTGAGCCGTGCCTTACAGGAGCAGAGCAGGGCAGGTGGAGGTGTGACCCAGCTCAGTATCAGCACTCTCCCCTGCCCATCTTTGTTGGAGCAGCTGCTGGAGGCCTGCCCCCGGCTGCTGTCCTTCTCTGTGGAGGTCCACAGCATTGTGGGGCCCTCTGGGGCCCGGGGACTGTCCCTGCCACAGAACCACTTCCGTGAGTTTTAATGGCTCAGCCCTGTAACAGATGGAGGGTTTGCTTCTTAGTTAAAGTAGTACTGTGTGTGCTGCAGAGTTCCCCCTCCAGAAGCTGAGTGTGAGCCTGAACCAGCAGCTCTTCCCTCGGCTGCTGCTGCCCTCTCTTCTCCAGTGCTGTCCCCAGCTCTGCTCCCTGCATGTCTGTGGGCTCAGGCTGCAGACTGGAGCCTCCTATGGCCAGCTCATCACCTCTCTGACAGGTACACGCAGACAGGATCAGAGGAGTCGACCTGGACATGCACAGGTCCTAGGAGTTGCTCCCTTTAAATGTTATTATCATGTCCCATATATGTGGTCCTCTTAGTGCAGGTGAATGACAATGACAGCTGTGTCATGTGTGTCTCAAGAGTGCTGTGGGGGTCTGCGCTGCCTTTCCCTGGAGGATGTGAACCTGTCCGACTGTTTGGAGCACATCCTTCTGCTGCTCAGACACTGCCAGCTGCATGGTAATCCTCTGTCCATCTGCTTCCTTTTATGTTCTGCTCTAAAACTGTAATGTGCGTCTTTGTTTTTTTTATGTTTAAACATTGTCACAATTTTTTTGCAGTGGCAGTTAGGCCATTTGGAGTAATATACATAAAACTGTTTAAACATAACACAGCAGGGGTGTGTTAAATACATGGATGGATGTCTTCTGGTCAAACTGTTTTTTTTTTTCTAAAGTTACATCAAATGGTAGTTTTATCACATTGTACTTTTAATTATAAATTACTAATATTGTAATATTTGAAGATGTACTTGATTTTTTTTGGACAGTCAGCCCCCAGTGGTATCTAGCACATTTTCACATGGAACTTGCAAGTCAACATTAATATTTGCCCCTACCTCATCTGTAAATCTGATCCTGTTTCCCAGAACTGTGCCTGAAGGACTGTCGGCTGATGGAAAAATGGAACAACAAAGAGGACAGTTTACAGAGGCTGATCACTGCTTTGGCTGCCCACAACACTCTGCAATCTCTGAGCCTGGCACACAACCGCATCGGTAACACACTGTGCACAGCCACATCACAACTGCATCTGTAACACACTGCAAACAGCCACATCACAACCACATCTGTAACACACTGCAAACAGCCACATCACAACCACATCTGTAACACACTGCACATGACCACATCATACTTTAGTGCTCACACAGGGGGAGTGTGCCTTCCTTTAACCCTGTGTCACTGTCTCTACAGCCAGACATGTCCCAGTGCTGGCTCAGCTCTTCTCTGCCCCCCGCAGTGTCCTGCAGAGACTGGACCTCAGGTAAACTCCTCCTGCTCTCCACACCAATTGTGTATGCTAACAAAGAGTAGTATCATTAGACATGTGTGCAGAATCAAGTACCTCTCTTTTAGAAATATCAAGTGGAAGCATCTAAGGATTTCAGTTGAGCTGCTGCAGAAGCAGATTTCATATCCCACCGTTGCCACTCATCACTGCTAATGCAAATGTAGTGAGACCATGTGCAGAGCCATTATTGGACACACCTGCCTTGGAGCATCTTAGTCATGTTTGAGAATAAGTAATAGTTTATCCTCTGTTTGAACTACTAAAGGGAAAAGATGTATACATTCTGTGCACTTTTTCTCATCCATGTACACTGTGTACATAATTATTAGGCAAGTTGTATTTATGAGGATTAATTTTATAATTGAGTAACTAAGGTGCTCTCGGTCAATCCAAAATGTGAATAAACCTCAAACCTGAATATTTATGAAAGTGAAAGTGAAGTTTTGGCTTTCTTAGGAGAAAATCTATGTGTTATTATGCAAGTGAAAAATGAACATTTTCCATTCTCACTTGTTTATGTTCATATGTCAGAGTAGTAAACATAAACAAAATGTACACATAAACATTGCTGACATAAAAAAAAAAATCAGGGACCAATATTAGACACCCTTCTTCTGAATAATGGTCATAAACTTTCCATTCATGGAGTTTGTGGGTTTGTTGACGATCAACAGACACTGTTTTCCTTCACTGTAAATCTCCCATTTAAGAAGAACCTATAAGTTCTCAATAGGTTTTAGGTCAGGTGAGAAAAAGGTCCATGTCATAATTTTTTCATCTTTTAAGGTCTTTACTGGCAGCCATGCAGTGGACTACTTTGATGCATGCGATAGAGCATTTTCCTGCATAAAAATCATGATCCTTTTGAAAGATGCAGATTCCTGTACCACTGCTTGAAGAAAGCGTCTTCTAAAAACTGTCAGTAGGTTTTTTCCATTTTGAGTCCATCTTCAACCAGAAAACATCCAACAAGTTCATCTTTAATAATACCAGCCCATACCAGTACCTTACCTCCACCCTGCTGGTGTCTGAGCCAAATTGGAGCTCTGTGCCCATTACTGATCCAGCCATGGGCCCATCCATCTACTCTGTCAAGAGTCACTCTCATCTCATCAGTCCATAAAACCTTTGAAAAATCCATCTTTAGATATTTCTTTTCCCAGTCTTGACGTTTCTGCGTATGTTTCTTGTTCAGTGGTGGTTGGGTTTTAGCTTTCTTTACCTTGGCCATGTCTCTGAGCACTGAACACCTTGTACTTCTGGGCACTCCAGGTTGGCTGCAGCTCTGGAATCTGACAGCGCTGGAGGGTAATGGGTTCTCAGAGTCAGTTAAATCTCTTTTTTGGTTCAGGAAAAGAATGTGCCTAATAATTCTGCACACCTTGATATAAGGTGTTGACTCACCTTCATATAAGGTGCTTAAATCCAATAAGAATTCAAGTTTATACAGCTTGGATTTGGAGAAAATGCATAGAAATCATGATATGGTCAAAATACCCACTTGTCTAATAATTGTGCACACAGTGTATACAGGAGCTTTATTGTCTGTAACTAAGGCAACGTTTACACATGGCGGGTATTTTGCGAATGAATATTTCCCTCCCTCCGTTTTCCAAAATAACATCGTACACGCAGCATCGTTTTCAAAAAAGTTTTCGTTTACATCAACCCGCATAAATCCTCCATCGAGCACCGTCATAACTACACCGAGCCTCTGGGCGCACCTGGATTATTTCATTACAGTTGTAAGTATGACTCAAAAATACGTTGAAAAACATATTAAACGCACGGACGGACCACTCAGAACAACATATAGCGGACCAAATGGGATTGACGCTTCTGTCTGGATGCTTTGCACCACCTTGGAACCAGCCTCGGTCGAGCGCGGAGGACCGGAGCAACCCACACGGAACCAACACGCAGATGAAGGCTGAAGCACTCGGGCCCAGTCCTTTGTGCACTGCTCTTGCTCACCCCTGCTTGGAGCAGGACATGGAGGATGGAGCCTCCAGACCATCTGACCAACACTGGACCCCATGCTATGGTGAGTGATCCCGTGTGTTTAGCGCTGTTGCCCGAACAGAGCTGCTCCAGGCTGATGTGCGGTGAGATGCGTACAAAGTTCTACATGCTGCTGATTTATGAGTTCATGGTGAGAACTTGAGATGAAGATGGCCCGCGGTGTTAAGGGGAACACAAATTCCTTTCGCAATCCGTATGGGATGGACTATATCCAGTGTTGGGGAGTAACAGATTACATGTACCGCCGTTACGTAATCAGAGTACAAATTATGAGTAACTGTATTCCGTTACAGTTACTGTTTCAATGAGTGGTAATTGGATTACAGTTACTTTGCTGAAATAAGTGGATTACAAGGCGGTATTTTCCTGTTTTCACATTTTGTGCTACATCCCATTTATTTATTTTTTTATTTAGGTAATTCCACTCATTGCCGGAAACCCAAACAGAACGCGCGCAATAAGAGCGATGGAAACGTCATGTTAAAGTTGGCGGTGTCAGTCACACAGTGGAAGCAGCAATGCATTGGTAAAAACGCATGTGTCTTGGAAATTCTTCTCCCGATGTGAGATATATATATAAAAAAACAAATATAAAATTGCCTACAACTTAAATGTGAAACTGGAGCTACTGGCACTGGTGAAAACAACCTGCATAGACTCATAATCTCTGCACTACTGTCCTATAGTGACCTGCCACATGAGGGGACACACACACACAAACACCTTCATCATCGTCATCAACCTGAGAACCCGCGGACCACGTCTCCTTCCGTAGTTACAGCGCGGACACCGCCGTCTCGTGCGCCGCGTGTGGACCGTGTTTTCTCGCATAAACCGCGCTTCCTCCTGTGCGCCTCTAAACCAGAACTAACACCAGGACTAAACCAGGACTGACCCAGGACTAAACCAGGTCTAAAATCAGGAGTAAACCAGGTCTAAAAATCAGGACTAAACCAGGACTAAACCAGGTCTAAACAACATGACACCTAACAGTAGGTTGACATAATTAAAGGTGATCTCATATAAAAAATAATTTCTCTATCAATAATATTTTTTAATCTGGTGAAGGAAAGTCTTATCTTGTTTCTGTCTTTTAACAGACAAAACCTCTTATATTAAGATATCGTGATCTTTGTTTCTCTACAGCAAACAGTTGCTTATTCATGGAGACTTGGGCTCAGACAATTTGAAGACAACAAACAAGAATTTTCAGGATGTGGTTGCTACATTCATGTCATTTAAAAAAACATGACAATATCAAGTAATCCAAAGTAATCAGATTACGTTACTCACTTTAAGTAATTTAATGGATTACGTTACAAACTACATTTTGGGGTGTGTAATCTGTAATCTGTAGGGGATTACATTTTAAAAGTAACCTTCCCAACACTGACTATATCTATCTATCTACAGTCCCTGACAAAAGTCTTGTCACTTATCCATTTTGTAGAAACAAAAGCTTATAACCTGACTTTAAATTAATTGATTGGTTTTAGAAATGTCTCATATGAAGCTAAAACCCTCCCACACTGTGCTCAATATACTAAAATAAATTTGCTTCACTGAAGAAAGATTGATCATTTAATGAACACAGAAAGGTCAGATTTTGGCAAGACAAAAGTCTTGTGGCCTTGTCATATGATGCACCCAATCCTAGATTACAGCCTCACCTGTGATCAGTTACTGATCAATCAATTAGCGGGTGTGCATAAAAAGAACCCCAGCACACCAGACCTTCACATCAACTGCAACTTGACCTCTGACAACATGCCTAAGATCCACCCTGAGACCAAAGCATTAATTATCAAGAGGCTGAAGACCAGATCCACTGCTGAGGTGGTGACACCTTCAATGTGTCTCAGCATCAAGTACAAAGAACAAGAAAAAGATCTGAAATGACTGGAGATGTTTTTGACATGCCCAGGTCCAGCAGACCCCGCAAGACAATTGCTCGGGAGGACCGTTTGTCGATTTAAAAATCCAAGATTTGCAGTGGAAAAGGGGCTGCCCTTTTCCACTGCAGCAGACTCCACCAGGCCTGGTCACCTCAAGTCCCTGTGTCAACCACAACAGTTTGTAGAATTCTGTCTCGAAATGGCCTCCATGGTCGAATCAGTGCACAGAAACCAGCACTAAACAAAAGGCAATTAAAAAACCATGTGGCATTTGCCAAGGCCCACAGCCTGATAAAAGGATGGACACTGGAAAAGTGGCAGAAGGTGGATTTCTCAGATGAATCCTCGGTTGAATTACATCACAGCCGCCGCAAATATTGCAGGAGACCTACTGGAGCCGCATGGATCCAAGATTCACCCAGAAAACAGTTAAGTTTGGTGGTGGAAAAATCCTGGTCTGGGGTTCCATCCAGTATGGGGGTGTGCGAGACATTTGCAGGGTGGAAGGCAATATCAATATCCTAAAATATCAAGAAGTATTAGCTTCCTCTTACATTCCCAACCATAAAAGGGGTCAAATTTTGCAGCAGGATGGTGCTCCATCACATACTTCTATCTCTACATCAAAGTTTCTCAAGGTGAAGAAGATCAAGGTGCTCCAGGACTGGCCAGCCCAGTCACCAGACATGAACATCATTGAACATGTCTGGGGTAGAATGAAAGAGGAAGCATGGAAGGCAAAACCAAAGAATCTTGATGAACTCTGGGAGGCATGTAAGACGCTTTCTTTGCTATTCCTGATGACTTCATCAACAAATTGTATGAATCATTGTTGAACCGCATGGATGCATCCTTCAAGCTCATGGAGTCATACAAGATATTAAATATGGATCTCACAGCACCACTACTTAATTCACTGACGTTATGCAACATATTTTTGTATTTGAAGTAAATTATTTGTTCAATTTTCTGTAGGCGACAAAACTTTTGTCTTGCCAAAATCTGACCTTTCTGTGTTCATTAAATGATCAATCTTTCTTCAGTGAAGCAAATTTA